TGCGCTTCATCCACTGATTCTTAAGTCACTTTCGACCATCATCTCTCCTGTCGTGACTGTCATTTTCAACAGCTCGCTGTCTGAAGGTTCGTTGCCGATTGACTGGAAATGTTCGGTGGTAAAGCCTATTCCGAAAGGTGACGACCATAGCAAAGTGGACCACTACAGGCCAATTAGCCTGTCACTTATTTTGGCAAAGGTTGCTGAGAAATTCATGAAGAAAGGATTGCTGCAGTTGCTACAGTCAAAAGAGGTCCTGACTCCCGCACAGCATGGTTTTATGCAAGGCCGATCATGCAATACAAACTTACTTGTGACGAATCATGAGTGGTTGAAGGCAATAAGCAAGGGGAAGTCGGTCGACGTGATATTCATCGATTTCAGTAAAGCGTTTGACAAGGACAGTCATGAGGTTCTCCTTCATAAACTCAGGATGTGTGGTATCGGTGGATCCGCGACTTTCTTGTTGGACGAAAGTGGAGGGCACAGGTCGACGACCATCTAACTGACTGGTATCCCTCTACAAGTGACGTCCCTCAAGGCACTCTGCTGGGCCCACTCTGTTCCTGATCCACATCAACGATCTACCTAAGCTTCTCCGGTCACCGTGTGCCTTGTTTGCGGACGACATGAATATTTGGAGAGAAATCGACGCTCCCGACGACTGTGGCCTACTTCAGCAACACCTCAACCGCCTATCCACATGGTCTGCAGAAGTTCATCTTCCGGTCAACCCATCCAAGTCTGTATTTATGAGCCTTACATGAAGGGTGTTGACGGTTTGACCTACACCCTTGGCGGCCAAACGCAATATCCCACACCCTCCGTGAAAGACCTAGGTGTACTCTCACGCTACGATTTGAAGTCCGTGGACAACACGAACAGGCTATATATTAACGGACGGCGCATGCTTCGGGCGCTGAAACGTAGCTTCGGCACATGGTCTGAAGAGGTTGCCACTCCCATCTTCTCTTCCATCATTAGACCAATGATAGAGTACGGTTCGCCCTCCTACTATCCGATTACCCGAGGCGAGACACAAAAGATCGGATGGGTCCAACACGTTGCTACCAGGCTCATCCCGAGTTTACGTGGCTTTGGGTATGAAGACCGGTGCGAAAACCTAGGACTCTACACCCTGTCCTACCGTCGGGTGCGAGTCGACCTCATTATGACCTACCGTATTCTACATCTCGGTGACTTTCCCATGCTGGGGCCAATGCTGCATTTACGAGGGTCATGCAGCACACGCGGACACAGATACAAACTTGTCGTGCCGGATGTGAAACGTGATCCCCACCCACTGTGCTTCGAACGGCAAGTGGTAAGTATTTGGAATACGTTTGCCTGAAGATGTGATTGCGGCAACATCTGTGCAGCAGTTCAAAACTTTGTTAGATTTATATTTCACCACTATTCGATTCAGAGAACGATTGCACACGTACTATGACATGTCACATTTGTGAGTCCTGCAATGCCGTGAGTCAGATATTTTAAATGTTACAGGAGAACGATAACGATATTCACGGCTAACAGTTTTTATAGCGTTTTTCACCATATTTCGAGAGTTTTACAGAATTCATTTCTACTTGCTCTATAATACAGTATTCAGTATTAAGTATTCTTGACGCTACATAAGTACGTCTGTTTGGTGAGTGGGTGATCGGTAAAGTATTTCCTCAACTACCCATGGCTGTCAGGTTGTTAGGCGTGCATCGTGCTCTCGGATGGGGCTCAAATGTTGTTCTTGATGTTTGCGTGCGGTCCACGTTGTGTACATCATGTGTCATGCTGAGCGGGCACAGTGCCATTGTTCAAACGATGAGGTCAGAAAAACATGAATGTTTTAGAAAGTTGTAAATGGACCTAACATAGCTTGATATCAGAAACACACCAATACCTTGGACTGATAGTTTTCGTGCGTCCGCAGGCGGTTGAACGTGTGCTGACATGTTTCCATATTCACAAGGCTCACAAATGAGAGGGGATCCGAACCCGAGGACAGCATTGGTCTTAGTCGAGTGATCCACTACAACATGGTTTTTAATGTAGGCATAACCTTGTACCGGGTGTCATGTGTTGAGCACGAAACAAGAATCTCCAGATTACTCATTAATCACGATTCTTAAACGTGAACTAAACACTGTTCGAACCCCACTTCACTAATTCATCGTTCTAACACGTAGCAGCTAGCTATTTTTAGCCGTTAACATCCAAATTTTATCGACTCTTAAGGTGAGGGACTAACAAGAAAATCGAACATTTTGACTATTTTTCGTTTCCATACATAATGCACAATTATTCATAGTAGAAAACAGCTGTGCAAACAGGGTTTACAATCATGTGTTTTAAAGCTCAATTTCTACAGTTAATGAAGCATGTGTAATATTATCATTGAAGTTCTCAAGCTCACTACGTAAGCAAAACTTTGCAACGTCGCATCTCGCCTCGTAATTGACTTAGAGACTTCATTCCAGTTGTAAATTGATCTATAATTGATCTATAAACCCAGTTCTCATGGTACACATAGGAAAGAATAGATTTCCTTGGTCCATTTATAGAGGACATGTTTTGTTCGGCCAATCAGTGTACTCGTTTCATCGCACATCGTCTATTGTTATTCGGAAAAAGGACATTTTATGACTGTGACAAAGGATTCTCAAATTATGGACAAAAGGAAGGTAAACCGAGGTATATTTCATGGCAATCAGTATTCTAAAATGCAAGAACAAGTAGCTAGAACTGATGGAATTTTTGGTTTTGATGGAACAACGAATCATCTACGTCTGCTTCTAGAATCAAACTGGGACCTCAAACCTCGCAGGCTGAGTTTGATAAAACTGAGGAGCTGACATGTATTCGATTTTCAGACGTTCAGCTTCTCATTAACTTGCAAACATTTTATTGTGCAGCCCGTGTAGACAACCTCTGGGCGAGAGCAAATCCTAGGTAAGAGAACAGGGAAACTCGTTAGCCTCAAATTTCGCTTTCTACTGTCATTGGTAACATACCGTTTCTTTTTGTCCTCTGAAAAATGTGGGAACACATACGATGTTCATAGGATATCGAGCTGCTCCATTTGCAAACAATTTTCTGGCAATATGAGCATGTCAAGTAGTATGGATAAAAGCAGTTGGCCTCTTCATAAAAAGATACTTCTTCAGGCTACAGAGACATTCGCACATACAAGTACGCAGAGAGTTGTATCTGAGATGATTGCAAAACACGGAGAAGCCATAACAGTCTCGTGTGACATGGCAGAGAGGGGGGCATCAGAGCAAAAATGATGTAGTCAATATTCTAACTGTGGATGGACATAGAAGTTCTGAACACTGCAGTACTGAGTACGTATTGAAACCCTTGTGCAAAAGTTAAGATGAAAACTGAAGCCCAGTTCCAGACTTGGGTGCTTTCCCATACTCAGAACTGTGATCAGAATCACAATGGATCCGCAGGTAGGATGGAGCCAGTTGGAGCACTGGAAATGTTCAGGCGGAGTGAAGAGTTGCACCGTCTGCGCCATGTTTCTTTTCTTGGAGATGGAGACAGTAAATCATTCACATCAGTTGCAAATGTGGAACCACCAACGTATACTGGTACTGATGTTGGCAAAAGTAGACTGTTGTGGGCATGTGCAGAAGAGAATGGAGTGACACCTTACTAATCAGGTAAATAAGTTGAAGAAGGAAACTTGTACGCACAATAGCAGGCCTCTAGGAGGTATTGGTGGGAGATTTTAACTGACAAAAAAGGCAATTCTAAAGTTACCAGGGCATTGTGGTCCTGGAATATGTATAAACATCGACAATTTTCCTCTAATGTGAAAAGAAATCTGGGCCATATGGGAGCACAGGGACTGTTGCTATATCAACTGTGGAGATTGATGCCCCTCCAGGAATCAGCCTGCTTCAGATCCTGATAGAAATGTTTTCCATTCCTATATCTGTGTGACCATAAACCTGTCTTTGAAACACCCGCCAGTGAGACATTACTGTCAAAGTGTGTTCATGGAGGGACACAAAATACAAATGAGTTTTCATAATTCAGTTTGCCAAAGATGTCCAAAGATTGGTTTTGTTGGAATGCGTAGACTAACTCTTGCAGTTTATGATGCTACAGTAGTTTTCAATGATGGAAAGAGGGGTAGGCTAACTATATTTGAGAGGTTGGGTATGGTTGCTGCATGCCATACCAGACCGTGTTTCAATGAGCTGGACAGAATAAGAACAAACTCAGCAGCTAAGCAAGTATCATCAAGTGGACGGCAGGCAATGAAAACAGCGGCTGTCATAGATAAGAAAGGCGGAGAGAATGTTTAACTTGCTGGTGCCCATGAGTAATCCAGCTTAGTCCTACTATGTAATTCATATCTTGGCACATTACAGAAATTATATAAATAGTTTTTGCTAGATATGGGAGACTGACACACATTTGAAGTTTGTTAAAACTGTAAAGCGCATCTTCTCAGAATGACGTTTCGTATCTATGCATTATCATTGTCATGATAAGTGCAAAACTATTAGGCCAAATTTTAAAATTTTTTAGAGCACATGGACTTCATTAGTATCTGCTTGAGACCTGCTAAGTTCAATGGTCCCACACTTGTGGTTTACATTTAAATTGAGTTCAAATTTTATGCAACTTGTGGGCCCAGGTGTAAGAAACTTTTACGTACACACATATGGGAGTCTAGTGTAGATTACAGCCTAAACAAATCTGTGCGGCTATGCACTATTTTAGTGGCATACATAGAATAGTTTTTATCAGGCGTGACAAGGCTACTTTAATAAGTATTCATCACCGAAATTAGTACCTTGATATTTGGAAAAGAGTGTGAAATAACAAATATAAATATTTCTCAGGTATTGTATTAAGATATCTAAGGAAGGTATATGTAAGATTTCATAAAGATCTGATCATATTTAGACACATTTAACCAATAGCAAATTACTCGCATCATTTCTGATTTTCCAGCTTGTTCCCTCTCCGTGTTTGTACAGAAATCCTCTGTCCGTACGATGGACTGTGCAACGATGACGATTACGGTACCCACAGTGACGGCGACAACACTGACGGACGCTGAGAAGGAAGAATTCAGCACTACTGATGCCAACATTCAGTGCGGAGTTTTCTCTGAGTTACAACAGCTGGTAATACATTTGGGGTATCCAATTAATAAAACCAGTTCGGTTTCGTCGATAAAGCCAATCATGAAGAACAATGTACAAATCGAGCAAGATTTATCAAGTGACCTAGTGTTCAGGGTCTACCACGAGGGCGCAGAATATTCAAGTGACCCTTTGAAGAAGGTGAGTTAGTTTGCTAAAATATATACGGATTTGTTCACTGCTGCTTATATAGTTAACTCACTCCTGTAAAACGGCACAGTGCACTCATCTTTTTCAATCAAATTGAATGTTATGTCTCGTTAACCGTTAAATAGAAGCTCGGGTAATATAGCGCTGCCAGCAACATTAAATATAACCTGGGTCTTCCTGCATCTCGTTACTGCGGAAATCTGAAACAATGCTACTAATGATCTGTTTAATTTTCTACGTGCATACTAGACCAAGAGTAATCGAGAGGGTTCCTCGGTGATCATTAATGGGCACAAAAGTATAAGCCGAATTCGTGCTCTTTTGATCCACTTCGCATAAATCTGCAAATTTCAGAGAAACGCTTCCGGCAGCGGACATTAAGAGAACAACAAAAGTACATATGTCGAGAAAAAATCCAAACGTAAATGTATTATTTCATGATGAGGTCGCTGGCCTGTTGAACTGTTAACACGGGCCGAATTTGGCTCGCGGGCCGGACTTTGGACATCCCTGGTCTATATTGACTCCGATGCTAAATGTATCCCTCTGAGTTATCATGGTGTGGCGTTCATGATGCTGCTTGTGACTGCAACCGTGAATCACGAGCAGTGCGTAGTGATGGAGGTGTTATGAGGCTCCCTAATCAGTGACAGAGAATTCATCTCAGCCACGTTTATGATGTCTACAGTTGTTTGGTTATGGTTCTTTCTACGGCTGAAATCAAAGTTGTATTACTGTACAAAGTTCAAATACATGGTCTTTGTAGTCTGGTCCACAAGACTAATTGAATCATTCAACACCTAGAAGGTCTGCGTTTACAAGTCGGATGTCTCAGTACTGCTCCGCAGTGTTAACAGTACCTTAAATGTTTCGTCCAGCCTCATTACTGTGACTCCTGTTCCATGTAAACCTTCAAGCTCTGTTCTTCCCGATTCTGCCACTGAGGTCTAGGACAATTCCGAATAATTGCACTTCACTCATTGCTCAGCAGTCTGAAGGACACCTGAAGAAAACCCGATTCCAGCCGACTTCGGCGCTAATACAAGCGCATCCAACATCCAACACGCTCGATCTTGAGAAACAAATGCGGTGAGTGTGCAGTTTGTGACTAATAATAATACCGTCAAATCGTTTCCTTCCTTTAAGTAATACGAGTGAAATCATCCTTTATCTGATAGACAGAGTCCACCTTAGCAAAATCCAAGCGCTGGTCAATATTACACAAGCGATTCTCCGATGAAGACTCGAATGATTTGTGTGTGAATTCACAGTTTAACGCCAACACTAGTGCTGGTAGATGATAAGTCGCGGTTTGCTTTGAACTAACCTGCGCACTCCTGTTGTGCGGAAACGATCCATGGTGCGTTGAACCTGTGGGTCATACTGGAGCAGCATGGAAGTTCAAACGGTTCAGATGGGATTTATAAAAGCTATTTTCAACCATACAGCCATCAAAACCCGGAAGAGTAGGGGCAGCAGTCTACTGTGTCATTGTAGTCTAGCCGCGGCAGTGCCTGATCAAATGTAATTAGTTATTACATACTTTTAGTTATCCACCAATTGTGTATATTATCAGACCAATAGGAACCGCTCTCATCGGTGCTGGTTGTTGCAGAACTCAGTCCATCAGGGACAAGCTCTTATTCAGTAAACTTATGTCGGCGAATATTACACTATGTTTGGCAAACCAACCTCCTCGATATGAGTTGCACGTTCTAGTCCATAACTAACGACCCTACTGAGTCGATGAGGTTCCCCTTTCGCTTCAGCTAAACAAACAGGGAAACGCACACGAATATAGGCCAATCCAAGTCCAGTAATCGAATCCGTTACGCTCGCCTCTCATTGGCTGTCTGGCTCACTCGGTTGGTCCACCCGCCCATGTTGATCTGACACTCCCATCACGTCCTCCCTCTCGTCGTTGCCTTGCGCCTCCATATTGTTATGCACCCGTACAGCTTGCCACACCGCAACGTCTTCGCTGTATCTGCGGCCCTGTTCCCTTTGCACCACACTATATGTCGCTCCACTCCCAGTCCACATTGTTGCCTCGGTTATCGTCTCAAATGTACACAGAACGTTTCCCTCCATAACTTATTTTTTATACCTTTTAACAACCCTCGGGGTCACCACACCTTTCTTCCAACGCACTTAACCCTTGGGTGCTAGTTGAACCCACACTTCCTCCCCCGTTGTCAGCTCAAGCAGTATCCGTCGACCACGGTCGCAGTGTTGTTTTTGTGTGGATGTTCGTCGTCTAAATTTTTCTGTACTCGCTCATATGTTAGCGAAACTGGGCTCAAAAGTGTGGCAGTGTGTGTTGTTGGGGTCCGATAGATGCTGATAATTGCTGCTTGAAATCCTTGGAAACCATGGCCTAAGATTGATGTCAGTGGCAGCCTTCTGCATCGGTGTGTTACTGTGTCCCTCCTTTCTCCCAATAAAAAACAAACAGAAAAATTTCATATAACGTGATTTGCAAACTGGACGGAAAAATCTTTATGGTTGTTATTTTTTATTATTCATACTGTTTTCATATTCAGCCATGATTCCGATGGCACAGTATCTGTACCACAGCTTGTGTATAATATATCCCTCAAACCTTCCCTAGTCCGGGCTAAACACAGACCGATACTGGTCACTGATATCGGTTTTTCCATGGCAAGCATGTACGAAATGATCATGATTACAAACAACAACACAGGGAGACCGAATCCAATTAGTGCTAAGAATCGTCGTGAGCTCCTCCTCCGCGATCACAAACTCCAGTCGGTGAGACTCCATCTCTTGGGTTAACCCCTTCGACTGTAGCAGAGCACTTGGTTTGAAATCTGGAAACATTACACATGCGCGGGGAATCGTAATCGAATCGAAAGCACACCGGAATAGAATTATGGCAGTAACACCCGTGTCTAACTGGAGTCATTCAGGTTAGCTTTTGAGTAAAAGTTTTGTGTAGGCACATTTTTATGATACCCTCCCGAGCATATTGCCAATTGAATGTTTTGCGTCTGCGGCCGACTGGTCAGGAACGAGCGAACTCACATTCGTTGTTTAACAGCAAGAAGCAAAGTTGCTCGTTTTTCCACATTGGGCGCATTTTCGTCCGGACGCAGGACACCGTTCGCGCAATAGTTGCAGATTTCCTGTCTCACGTAAGTAGCCTTTAATGCTTTGCCTACAGAGACAGCATATAATTCAACATCAGTTGCGAGTTTCGTTTGTTGGTATTGATATTTGGTCGAGGACTCAGTGTTGCAGATATCAATGATCTGCTGAAACGATGAGTTGCGTTATCGCAAAAACTGCTTTGCCATACCTTCATTACTGATTTCTTGGAGGATCTGATCCTGTATGTGACTGCTGACTAAGCATTTACAGCATCAGGCCGAAATGTTCAGCTCAGTGATGTACGCGTCAACGGATTCATTTGGGCCTCTAATTCGCATAAAGAAAATTGCAGCGCTGGTATGTCTCGTTGGTTAGATATTTATAAAATTCACTGGGGTTTTCAATCACACTTCAGCTCATTGAGCTCTTCGCAGTTGCCTTATTGCGATGTCTCTATAACTCGGCGCGCATCATTCCCGGTTACTTGTCGAAACCTGGCCAAGCCATCTGCCATCGGTTTCTCGTGCAACGTATTAAGTTGCATAACTCCATACACTTGCTCCTACATAGACTCCAAATATTTGCCAAGTTCCGCTCAAACATTTCCAACAAGGCAGGCATTTGAACAGACGGTATTGATCTAATCAGCACCTGACCATGGCCGGTGAGTTACCTCTTGGTCTTCCCTGTCACCATTTTGCAGAACTTAGTCATTCAGGGACAAGCCTTTGCTGGATAAAAATAATTCGGGGAAACTTACAGCAGCTTTGGCAAACCAACCTCCTCGATATAAATTAAGCATTCACGTCCATACCTAACGACTCTTCTGAAGCAATGACGTTTCTTCGTTTGACTTAGTCTAACAATCGATGATTAACTAACGTGAATATCGGCCAATCCTGGTCCAGCAACCAAGTCATTTCAACCCGTCTCCCATTGGCTATCTGGCTCGATCTGTTGGCCCACCCGTTCACTCTGGTATGACACTCCCATCACAGTCCGGTCGAGGAATGTGACGTAAATTCCCCAAATCAAGCTAAGGACGATGTCATTACCCCATCAATAGACGCATAACGTCGACCTCACGTCTGTCGGGATCCTCCAACCACTGGCTCGTTTAACCCCCGTGGGCACGTAGAGAACGAGAAATTGTCCCGCCTTAATACCAATGTGGAAGGCCTTTTAAATAAGTTGGCCGAATTATAAGATTGCCAAGATGCTAAACCATGCAATAGCATCGGCGTCACAGAAGCATGATTACACACTGAAATGACGGACGCTGAAGTTTTGCTGCCTGGCATTTTACTCGTCAGCAACAATAAGCTAACAAAGGGAGGAGGTAGTAACTCCTTATTACCGAAGCAATCAACAGTGTGAGACCGTAGGACATTGAGAATTGCAGTTCTCTGATACGTTTTGACGCCGCTTGCAGCCAAAATTTAGAGAAACTTGCCTTATAGGCTTGGTGTACCGCCTCCTAATTCTATACCAGAAACGTACAGCCGCCTTGCTACTGTTCTGCGACACATCCTAAAGGGAAGATACACTCACATCGTTATCATGGGGGGTTTAAACTTACTCTATTTAGGAACTCCTGCCACGACCAAAGAAGCATTCGAAGCGCTTGTGCTGCAGCTCGTAAGCACTGCTCCGTTTCACAATCACGTCACTTTGCCTACTCGCTTCAGAACAGGTAACCGGCTATAGGTGTTAGATATTGTGCTTACCAACGGGTAGCGTAGGATTAATCTGCTGGCTGTAGACTACCAGTTGGGTCTCAGTGATCATACAATCACTAGTTTCAACTTCGTTTCCTATGTGAAATATCGGAATGAGAACTATGAGACTATGCAAACCATCACAACCTACGATCGACTAGCATAGTTGGTCCGCGCACGCATCCAGCATTCTGGTTAACGTGGGAGTGAGCCCTCTTCAATAATACTTCAGTGTAATTCAATGTTCTGAATGTAAACTGATTCATACAGAGACGGATTAGCAATTCGCTTTGACACTATCAGTACTTTCACGTTCAGTCTAACTAATTTGCCACCAATGCGTAGGACGGTTCCATGTTATTCGGCCAAACATTGTGACACGAATTCGGTATGCTTGAGATTTTAAAACCGGTGACCGGAGGTTTTCTTGCCCTAAGGTAGGAGTATATCATGTTATAATATTATAGAGTATAAAACTAGCGGGATAATCACTGGTCACTTGGTAGTCTGGTGCGCACATGAGTCGGCTAGAAGGGGATTGTTAAGGAGACAACCACAATTAATGTCTCCAAATTTACTAAAACTCATATTTGCTTGACTTCCATACTGCAACTACAAATCCACTCTGAATTCACGGGATACCAGGAATGCAATCAAATATACTTGACTTCCAAAGCACCCTAGTGTGTCTTAAACACAAAACTAATAAAAGCTCTTACACTTCATCACATGTAGTGCTTTGCTAATGCATGGCGATGTGATAAAATCATTGCAGTATCGTCTATGTAAGAGCTTCAGGTTAATTTCCATATAAGCCGCGCATCCAACAGTAACTTATGTAACAACAGAAGGTGGGCTAGGATTTGCGCACACCAGTTCCCATGTCTCAATGGTAAGTATCTCTACTTCAGGTAGCACACCACTTGTTTTGATTTAGGAACGGATATTTCTATGGTGATGAGTTCCAGGTCCAGCTCCGGTGAGGTGAGATGGCTGTCCGCAAAGTTGGCAATCTTGAGATGATTTGCTATCGGATATCTTACTGCATGTTTGGGGACAGTGCGCGCTGATGGTGTTGCGAGACACTCCAACAATATTTCCCTGGACCTTGATGACAATGAGAACTTACCAATTGGTCACTGGTGAACGGTATATTGCGGATAAAAATTTGGAAGTTTAACCTGCCTCGCCTGACAGTCTGTTAGAGCTTCCATAAAGTGGAACGAAAACAACAGTAAATAGTAAGAAGGTTGACGGTGAACTCACCGATCGACGTGTTGTCCACTTGAATCGCGGACTGCATGCTTTTGTTGAGCCACCTTAGGTGGCTCGGTCAAGTATGGCGCATAGATTCGACGCAGATACCGTAGCAGCTATTATATGGTCAACTGATTGTTGGGAAGCGGCATTTGGGAAACCGAATCTTCCTTACCAGGATACGATCAACTTTAACCTCTCACGTGCTAATCTTGGTTGCAGGTTATGGGAGTCGAAAACATTTGAGCCGCGTGTACGGCGCCTTCCTATCACGAAGGCAGTTTCCGAGATGTAAGGAAACCCGCTTGTGCATTCAGAGAAGAAGCGGCAATTGTGACAGGCTCGATGAGTTGTACTCCATCGACTTCGGGCACATGGTGTTGTAGCATATGCGGTCGCGAGTGCCTTAGTCACGCAGGCCTAGGGAGTCATGAGCGAGGCCAGTCGGGACCAACACGGAAACGATGACGAGTACTGCAGAGAACGTAGGCAGAACCGGCGCAGCGTTTATATCTACGCTGCAATAGATTTACTAACCGCATGCTTATATGTTGCGTGTCTTTATTGCAAGTGGTCGGTTTGCTATATTGTCTAATATTCTTTTATTTCATATTAATGTCAACCTAAGCTTCCTTCTACAAATATGTGTATGTACTTAAACTGGTTTAGTTTACTTCGAGAATATTTACGTCTTTGTGGCAATTTATTAAAATATATCTTCTGATGTCTTGAACTTATCGCGGATTTGTTCATAAACAATTTATTTCATATGCTCATTTACTGCATTATTCGATTTTGAAGTAGAACGTAGCGAACAAGCTTGTTTTCAGTGGGACATCAGCAGACTAGTGCAACCACAATTATGTAGGTCCATAATGAACATGTAAATTACAGGCGTCAATGAATCAAAATATCTCATCCAGAAGGCTATGTGGTTAGCCCGACCTGTGTGGAGTCGGGGGAATGGTGTGATAGGTCTGCTTACTTGTGTTAGTTTGCAGCCAGGGTAGACAGATCGTCCGCACAAACTTCTTCTGTGCTCACCACTCCCGGTTATGGAGCCGAATTGCTGTTGCCTCTGCTGTCGACAGCAGATGGCATCTGACACCTCTCCTGTGGCGTCCTGAGGAGCAGTAAATCGGTTGGAATGAATTTGTTGAGTTTTTGTGTGGTTAGTAACCACTAAATGGGACAATACTGCACTCGTCACATTCTTCCTCACACCACTAAATAGCCAAGCTGGACAATACTCCAGAGCTTTTACAGACAGTCGGCTGGTCCTTTTTCTAACACGCTCGACACGAGCAAGAGAAACTTTAAACACAAAAGGTTCTTTGCGACCAGTATATCCTGTCGTTGAGCCGCTGGCGCACACCTGGTGTTGAGTTGAAGCTTACACCGAAGTCGGCCGCAAAGAACTTAGCAATGTCTAGGTAAAGTCTTCGGGTTGCCCGCTGCGCTATCGCTTCATCCTTAAACTTTATCAATAAGTATATTAAGAGCTTCTCTACGGAATCTGATTTCCTCTTCGGTAA